AACTCACCAATTTGACCCTAGAAAGTGACTTCGAAGCATGCAAGGTAGGGTCTCTTTGGAAGGCCAAAAAGGCCACCAAACAAGAGAAGGAGAGAGGGGGTCACCCCCCTCTAATCTTGGCTCTCAAAATAGTGTTCCAGCCACTGAAAATCCACTGGATTTCAGTGGATAGAAGTCCAAACAAAGCATGCAATTGGGGCTTAGGTGTAAGGCTCAAAACAAGGGACAATCAAGCATACAAGGAAGCATGTGGCCTCAAATAAAATAATGCCCTTAATAAAACATGAATATGATGTCAAAAAAAGCCTTTTTCTAGTTTATAACAGATCTCAAAAGTGAACACAAATAGGGCTAATCTATCATGCAAAAATGGCCCTAAAAGAGAGAATAGAGACAAGGGACAGAAGCTGGCCCCAAACAGTGAAGAGCTCTTCAACAAAGTTTAAGAGGGGCTCAAAATGAAGCACTTTACAGTTTATATCAAGTCTCGAAAATAAACACAAGTGAGGCTAAAACAACATGCAAGAAAAAGGCCTAAGAGAGAGATAAAGAGGCAAGTGGTAGCAGCTGACCTCAAACAGAGGAGAGCCCTTCAACAAAGTTGAATAGGGGCTCAAAACAAGACATTTCACAGTTTATGACCAAGTCCAAAACATCTCACAAATAAGCCTAAAATATCATGCAAAAATAGGCCTAAAAGAGAGTTTAAACACAAAAGGGGAGGAGGAGACCTCAAATAGAGAAAGACCCTTGATCAAACATGGAGAAGAGCTCAAAATATGACTATTTATAGTTTAGGTCGGAGCCCAAAAATACTTGAAAATAAGGCTAACCAATCATGCAAAATAAGACAAGAAAAGGGGAAATAGGAACTCACCCTTGAAGAGAAGTTTTCCAGTAGCTTTTGGTCCAAATTTCTGAGCTTTTAACCTTAGCAAATGGCCTCCAAGGTGCTGGAATGGGGTGTGGAGGTAGTAGGCTTGGAGGTGTAGTGCAAAGGTCAAGAATAAGGTTGTTTGGAGGCTTGAATGAGAGAGATATATGGAAGGGTGTATATATGAATCCTAGCTGGTTTTTCTAACCCTTAGAAATGAGGTAGGGTGCTGGTTATAAAGAGGGAGAGAGGCCAAGGAAAGGGGGGGAAAAACAAATTCAAATTTTCCCCCAAAAAGGCAGCCCCTCGGATACAGGATCTGGGGGGAAACAGCTGGCACAACTGGAATACACTTGGAGAGAGGATCATGGCCAGGCAGGTTCAAAAGGTTCAGGTGGCCGGCCGGCCACCCTCCCTGGCCGGCGGCCAGGGGTCAAAAGGGTCAATCAAAATTGCTGGTCGGTCACCCCAAAAAGGTCGCCTCCAATGTGTGCACATCACAAATATGTGGTCAAAACCCAGAAAATGTGAACCAGGAGAGAGAAAAGCCAACTTTTTAGAGGGGTTCAAAAGGGTCAAGGACAATTACTGGCCGGCCTATACATATTGGTGGCCTCCCAGGTGTGTACAACACAAATATGGGGTTTAGGGCTAAAGAAAGTGGCCCCGGGGTGGTCAACATTAGCTTTTTAGTAAGAAAAACGGGCGACGGAGAGCGATGAAGAAATAAAGCTGGCTTTTCAGAACAATTGCTGGCCTCCCACCCTCCTACAAGCTTCCTAACAATGAAAATAAGGTCTCCACCAAAAATGAACCAAAACGGATGCAAAACGGAGGTTCGAGGACCGAAACGCGCGGCCTGGGGCCCCGAAAACGGGCTGTTAAGCACCAGAGGTGGCATTCAACCACGAAGTTGGTCTCTCGGGCCACAGTGTTCCTCAAAAGGGAGGAAATAAGGTGTATACCAAAAACCGGAGCAAACGGAGGTGGTTAGGCGGTGCCGAACCGAGGCGCACGGCCGTCGGCTCCGAAAAAATCGGAAACCGGGCTCCAAATGGGAAAAATGGCCTACGACCACGAAACGTAGCCTACGGCCACTGAGAGATGATCTACAAGACCTCTCTCCCCCTTCGAGAAGAGAAAATATAGAAAACAGAGCTTGATTCGCAAACCGAGGCAAGGCACGAAAGAGTCTGGAAGTCCGGAGGCAAGGGTCGTAGCCGAGACTCTGAAACTTCTGAACGAGCACGATATGCAATATCACCGAGCGCTCAACTGGTGACGTTTGAGTCTTAAAGTCGGTAAAAAATGGGGTGTCTACAGTTGCCCTTCTTTGACAGAACTCGAAAGTCATAAGTGACGGGAGTGAATGTCAAAGTCCAGAGACGACCCATTTTTGACAAGGCCGAAGACTTAGACAAACAGGCGAGATAAACAGAGATGCGCCCGTAGGCATGCCCGCGGGTAGGGGGCAAAATGCAACTGACAATGCAAGAAGCCGAAGGTATCTCAATGATCATGCAAATGCAGCAAGCTGTAATGAAGCACATATTCACAATAGATGCAACAGTTTTAAGCAAGAATGCAAAACAACAACTACATTTCATGCAGTTAAGAATGCGGAGAATTATTCAATTCTCGCCACGTCTCACACGGAGAAGATACAATACCTGTGCGGTTCGTCTGGTCGTACTAGCCTCAAATGAACTGTACATACGATATCGTGCCCTGAAAAGAGAGACTCAACAAGCACAACATTGTTAACAACATGTTTTCAAAATGATATTGAATGCAGACAATCGTGGCGTCGATAGAAAAGTGCATCGCAATGCGAGGAGTAATGCACGTGACAACGCGGGTTAAGCATGAGGGTATGAAAACACCCGTGAAATTTGCACAATAGTATGAGTGGTGTGCATGAGAATGCAAGTGACGTGCATAACAATGCAGAATAAATGTGGACTTGAATGCGAATTTGTCGTAAAACGATGAGCAAAGAAATGCAAGTTTTTGATAAGGGCGACTCAATTGTGACCTTCGGTTTACCTCCCGGAGGGGTCGCAACATGTTCAAAAAGGATACATCTCACTTTTGACGAGTAACGATGAGAAACGCATCGAAAGTTGAAGTTGAAGTTCCGGTAGAGCGATTTCGCGACGGAAAGTGCACTTCTCTTGTACTTTTTCAGGTCCCGGGGACTCCAATCCTCCCCAAAATTTGCAGAGAGCTTGGTGGGCACCTGGGGAACACCACCGGCCAGTTTTCTTCCCAGGGGGAGGCCACCGACCAGGTTTGAGGGAGAGGGGTGGCTGGCTTGCCCGAAAAGGTGGCTGGCCGGCCACTTTTTCAAAACCGTGGGCATTTTGGTACTTTCACTATCTTTTCTTTAAATCCATTCGGCCAAAGCATTTTTCCTCATAACTCCAGCTCCGAAAACACCTTCTCTACCTTCCTAGACCATTTTCCTCTTCAAATCTGAGCTCTATAGGCGTTTTCCAATGCCCCACGCAAGTTGTTTTCGCGAAATCTTTCAGTTTTCGTCACTTTGGACCGATTAAATTTTGATTTCGGTGCTTCTTTTCTCATTTTCACCACTTGAGGTAAGTTTGTCTCAACATTTGGAAGATTTCCTCGGGGGTTGACTTTTGTTGACTTTTTCATTTCCCGAGAGTTGACTTTTGTTGACTTTTTCCAATTTTTGCTCATTTTGCTCATTTTTGCTCCTTTTTGCAAATTTTCTGAAATGGCTGGTCATTTCCCTCACGGTGGAGGTCCTCCGGGCACCGGGGATGATCCCGATATCATGGCTCTACCTCCGAGGGTTCGACCCTTCATACCCGAGAGGTACGACCCTCCGACACATGTACTCCCCCAGACAGTTTTCTACCATTTTACCGATTTCGATGATCGAGCACCCAGGGATCTTTTATTGCGGGAGCCGGAGTACCACCTCTCCCATCAGGCGCAGGAGGTATGTTCCTCCCTGTCATATTTTCTACAATGTAACCTGCATTTTCCATGCATTCCATGTTATGTTTATCCGCTCATTTGAGTACATCGCTTGTTTAGAATGCTTTAGTCTATGACACCGTATTCTGTTTGCATCTTGAACACATAGTTCAATCACTTGAATTTCTGAACACACAGTCCATGAGTTGAAGGTGAACACACAGCACACACACTTGTTAGAAAGTTGAACACGTAGCCCAAACTTTGAATTTCCGAACACACAGCCTGAATGGAGGGTGCACACACAGCACACACTTGACAGAAGGTTGGACACGCAGCCCAAACTTTGAATTTCTGAACACACAGCCCATCTGAAGGTGAACACGTAGCACACACTTGTCGAGAGTAGAACACACAGCCCAAACTCTGAATTTCTGAACACGCAACCCAAGTTGAAGGTGAATACGCAGCACACACTTGTTGAAATTTGAACACACAGCCCAAACTCTAAATTTCTGAACACGCAGCCCAAGTTGAAGGTGAACACGCAACACACACTTGTTGAAATTTGAACACACAGCCCAAGTTGAAGATGAACATGCAGCACACACTTGTTGAGAGTAGAACACACAGCCTGAATGGAAGGTGCACACACAGCACACACTTGACAGAAGGTTGAACACGCAGCCCCAAACTTTGAATTTCTGAACACACAGCCCAGATTAAGGTGAACACACAGCCCAAACACTTGACTTTCTGAACACACAGCCCGAACTTTGAGATGAACACGCAGCCCACTGATTTTGAAATCTGAGTACACAGCCCAAATATTCGATTTGCACGCAGCTCATTGCATTGTATCTGTTTTAGTTTGCACACAGCTCATACATTTCATTTGCACACAGCTCATTTATTTCATTTTGAGACTGAATGTATGTATTTATTCTGAATACAGGTGACCTCCCGTATAGCACAAGGATATGGCTCTGTTGCGGCTAGAGAGTGGTATGCGGAGCTTCCGGAGGCTGTCCGGGATTTGGTTGACTTGGCAGGATTTGGGCTCTTCTGCTCCGGGATATCTCGTTGTCCGGCTAGTAGGACACTGATAGGTGCTTTAGTGGAGAGATGGTGGGACACCACCAACTCCTTTCATTTCTCTGCCACTGGGGACATGACTATGACCCCATTTGACTTCGCCGTATTGACTGGCCTTGATATGGGAGGCTGGGCAATCCCATATGATGAGGACATGGGCCAGTGGGAGGCCGCCTGGATCTACTTGTTGGGAGCTCGCCCGCCAGTTGACAGATCTTCGGGCAGGGTCCGATATACTTGGTTTTCCTCCCATTTCCGGAGGGTGGAGATGGTGCCTGAGACTCCTGAGGAGGTAGCCCAGTATACCCGCGGATTTCTGATGTTCCTCTTCGGGACCACTCTGTTTGCCGATAGGGGGAACACTGTCGGACTTTATCAGTTGAGTGCCCTAATGGACTTATCACAGGTCCGACGGTATGATTGGGGTGGTGCCAGCCTGGCCACTCTTTATTGTTATATGAGCGCGACCTCCCGCGGACGGGGGAACATACTTGACAATTATTGGAGAGCCTGGGAGGTACTTTCTGCCCCCTTTGATTTACATTTCTTCTTTCATTCTCTGTACACTGCACACACGGTACACTTTACATTTTGTATCTCTGTATTCTGCCCTCACCATTCTGTATTTACAATTTGCACTCCGTATTCTGTATTCTGATGGCTACTGCCCTGTTTTCCACAGCTATGGATCTATGCGTACTTCCCGACACTAGCCCCAGAGCTCGAGGTGGCGATACCTCCCATGACCCCTTACTCGCTGGTATTTGAGGGCCCGTACCGGCCGAGACCTCAGGAGTCTCTTCTCTATCTACGGCAGTACTTTGACACAGTACGGCCATCAGAGGTATTGCAGAACCCTCAGTTCTTCATGTTTCCAATCTTTGTTTTATCTTGCGCATTTATGATTTCTGGTCAGCTTATGCGTTGGTTACTCGCAGATCGTATGGCAGCCTTGGGCGCCTTTGGGTAGTGACCTCTGATTCCAGTTTGCCGGAGCCTGGGGTACCTCTCGGTACAGGATCCTGTTAGAGGGGCCGGTTGGCAGGGCCTGGTTTTTAGGGAAGCGCTTCCTGCGCCAGACATGGGGCTACCCCGTTCAGGACATTCCCTCAGCATCCCCAGACGACATACGGACCGCTGATAGGCTTCCTCCCCAGGGTGTTGTCGACGTCAGGTTGGGTACTGATGCATTTCTTCATCTGGAGCAGGGAGAGTATGCGACTTATCGTCACACATACTTGATGCCTTCATTGACGGGAGTCCGTACCCCGACGAAGTGATCCGCTGGTATGCCCTCATCAGGCCGGGCTCGGGCCGCGGACGTCCTTTCCACTAGCAGGGCTGGTACATCCAGAGATGGGGGTGGATTGATTCCCCCGATTCCTCTGACTCATCATCATCCTGGGTGGCCAAACATGCCGACCGAGCTGACGGGATGGCGATTCGGGACTCCCTACTCGATTCCGATAGAGCCTCCCATGTCTGACCACAGATATGTCAGAGATCCTGATTCGCCGCCGGTATGCTTTATAGCTTTGATTTATCACTCAGATACTTGGACATTCATTCATGTACTGATATTTTGCATTTGTATCTGCAGCCTTCGGTCGAGTATATGGATGAGATGCTCGGGATGATGGCCACACTCGAGGGCATGGTCTTACGGAGAGAGGCACAGTTGTCCATCATGGGTGTCCAGGTACTCTTTAATTTTCTCGCATTTATCATACTTCCGATGACATGCTGAACTTGATCATTTCATTGCATTGGTAGGTTGCCTGTGTAGAGCACATCTAACACACACCACATTCATATACTGTATCTACATGCACCCTTATTTCATGTAGTTTGCTTGCATCTGTATCTGATACACACATTTGAGCTGATGTATTCAAACTGCACTTTTTATTTTCAGATGCCTCCAGTATATCAGCCACGGACCGGGCCATCCAAGCCTTCTCGGGGAGCCGGGCCATCTCGACCTTCTCGGGAAGCCGGGCCATCTCGGCCTTCTCGCGGGGTCGGGAGAGGGGAGTCGTCCCGCAGACGCAGAGCACATATCGTAGAGGAGGAGCCCGGTGAGGACGAAGATGAGGAGGAGGCTGCAGATCATCAGTCAGAGACATCTGCTGACAGAGAGGAGGGTTCCGACCCTGGTTCCGGGAACGGAGAGGAGGCTGAGGAGGATCCCGAGGGTGACAGTTCCGACTCAGATGGTGCCAGTGGTGCAGAGCCTGTTCCACAGAAGAGGACGAAGAGGGCCTCTTATTCCTGCTCTTGAGAGCATTCGTCCAGCTGTTTCCTGCTTTATTTACCTTTTTTACTAGTTGTTGTAGCACATTGTACATTATTGCGCAGTTTTATTTTCTGTAAAACTTGTATCTTTGTTGTAAAATGTTGTAACAAAGGAAGCATGATGGAATGAAACAGCTTTTTGAAAAAGTGTTGTACTTTATATTCTCAGCATCACATCGTGTCATTTTGCACAAAAATGAGATTGAACGGTAAATGTGCATTGTGTATTTGCCAAGTCAGGTAGCGAACCGACACGACAAACTAAACAACCTAACTTACTAAGAAACAACAAAACCTCAGCAAGTTTACAACTCGATAAGCAAAACATAACAAAACTGATTAAACATGGAGTAACAACTTTGACAAACAAAACTCGACAGCTCGACAAAACTTAAAAACTCGATAAACAAGACGATTTAACAAACAAAACAACAACTCGATAAGCAAAACAATAACTTGATAATCAAAACAATGACTCGATAAGCAAGACTTAACAACAACTCGATAAACAAGGTGTATTTCGGACGATCTGGGCGACAGAACACATCCAAAACTGAGGAAAACTCGGGCCTTCAACACTCCTGATACATGGAAATGCTAGGAACTTCCTTTTAGAGGGTAGAACAGGACTAAAGACACAGATTGCAGCATGGCCGGCCACCTTTGGGAGCTGGACGACCAGCTTTTTGCATTTGAGGGGAGAGGGGTGGCCGGCCTACCAGAAAAGGTGACCAGCTGGCCACTTAGCTCAACAACCACCAGTTTTTTGACACGTGTCCCCCCGAACAGTGCCTTATCCCCTTTAAAGGTCCTAGCTCCGTGGCTCATTTATTTCATCTCAGTTTGGCACCAAAATGGAAGCATTTCTCGTTGAAAATCTCACAGCTTGGATTGCTTCTTTAGACGGCTCGGATAAGTTGAACTTCCGGGGCTTCGGCTTGAATGCACTATTCACGCTGAGCCGTACTCCGCTACACCTTCCCTTCCTTCATGTCGCGGCAAGGTTTTGGAACCCGGTAACACATGTCTTTAGCTTCGGCGGGCAAGAGGTATGTCCAACTTTCGAAGATTTTCAAGTTTTGATGGAATCTGAAAGTTATGAAGAGATCCTGCCTCAGTTTCGCTTTGGTCACGCCCAAGCTTTAGGGTGGATGTGTGGACTCACCACGCATGACGCTCGGTCTCTGATCTATAATGGGGACCTGGACATCCTCAGATTGATTTATCGCTTTTCTGACGCCGGTGATCGTGGCGACCATCATTGGCAAGGTTTCCGACAACATGCCCTTTGCTTGTGTATGCTATCTCACTTTCTGTTTGCGTCGGGCTTTGGTGGATCTAGCATTCGCCTGATTGAAGTTGCTCAAGGCTTGAAGGATGGAAAGAGTTGTATTGCGATGACACAGGCTAAGACGTTGATGGGCTTGGATGCTTTCTATCGCCGGGAGACGACCAGATTTGCGGGGAGTCCACTACTGCTGCAGGTAATGTTTCCTACCCAATCTCACATATGTATTGCTCACATCACTCAGCCCTCAGGCTCAGTTTTTCTCACAAAACCCTTGTCTTACTTTTCTCTCATCGTACATCTCTCTATTCTTCATTCTCTCATTTTTCATCCCTCCCCAGGTATGGTTGATGGATAAATTGTAGGTTGTGGACTCTTGCCCAGCCTACTCAGCTCGCGGCTACTTCTTTCGACAATGCCTAGTCGATGCCCTTGATGAGGGATGGTGGTTCAACTGGATGTGCAATTTGTCTGCAGATCGCATCGCCTGGCGCTGCCCTTGGCTCAATCTCCCGGCAATGAGCTATAGCATGTTCCGGCAGACCGGGATCCAGTTGGTTGGTCTGACTCACTGTGTATTCTACTTTCCGTTCCGGTTCTAACGCCAGTTCGGTCATGATCAAACTTGCCTGCCAGAGGGGATAGAGTATCCGGCTGCCTTCCCGGTTCGAGGTGCACAACTTGCCCGATATGCCACAGCATGGAGGACGAGAGAACTCCTGGCCCCCGCTCCCACTTTCAGTTATACTTTGTCTGACGAGTGCTTGGATTGGCTCAATGAAGAGGCACAGATTGGGCCCAGTTTGGCATCAGAGGCTTCGACCAGCTCTGGGAGGGGGCGCAGGGACATCTAACTTGACTATGCCCCGGATTTATTGCTTTATTAGTACTTTCAAGTTTTTCTTTATGAATATAATAAAAAAGCAACTTCGATTATATGCAAGAGCAGGAGAACTCTGTTTTGAAATTAATGAAATTGAAGGTTGTGGTACTGAAAATTTTCCGCTTTGGTCCAAAAATGGTCTTAGTTGTTGAAAGATTAATTTGAACAAAGTCAACTTTTATTAAAACTTTTCAAAACCATTTACGATATGGATCAGAACTGGACACGCCTGAGATCTGTCACTGAGATGCACAACCCCAGATCCCTGCGACTGGAAAGTTGCCCCTAGTCTGAAGAGTACCGCGGCACTGCATGGCAACGGAAAGTTGCCCCTAGTCTGAATAGCATTGCACCGGAGATTACAATCGAAGCCCTTAAATGCTGATAGACAAAGATGACTGAGATGATCAAATGGACAAAGTTGATCGGGGAAAAGTTTATGGCTGAACTTCAGGATGAAGTTGCCTACGTATCCCGATGATGGGAATCAAGCTTTACGTAGTTCAGGCTTAGGTTCACTCGAGTATTTTCACTCTCCTTTTACGCTCTAACTTTTGCCAAGGCCGCCCTTTGCTGGTTTTCAACCTTGCGAGCTCAGTTTTTTTATTTTTCCAATTTTTTTTTATGCTCTAACTTTTGCCTAGGTCGCCCTTTCGGGTTTTCGGCCTAGCGAGCCTCTCAGGGGTAATATTTCTTCAACTTGTCCATGTTGATCGGTTGGGAGAACTCTAGGCCATCTAGATCCATCAGAACCACAGCTCCACCTGACCAGATAGCTTTGATGATGTAGGGACCAGTCCAATTGAGTCTGAACTTGCCCCTTGGGTTGTGGATGGGAGCTCGGTTGTCCTTGACCACCAAATCTCCTTCCTTTAGATTCGTAGACTTAACTTTCTTGTTGAAAGCCCGGGTAATCCTGCGCTGATAGCCTTGAACATGGTACAGTGCTTTCAGTCTTCTCTCATCAAAGAGCATGAGTTCCTCAAATTTGCTCTGCTGCCAATCTGCTTCGGCTATTTGGCACTCAACCATGACTCGTAATGACGGAACCTCAATCTCGATAGGTAGAACGGCCTCCATCCCATAAACCAATGAATACGGAGTCGCTCCGGTAGAAGTTCTAATTGAAGTCTTGTAGCCCCACAGAGCAAACGGCAGCTTATCTAGCCAATCCCGGTAGGTTTCCACCATCTTCTGCAGTATGTGTTTGATATTCTTGTTGGCGGCCTCGACCGCTCCATTGGTTTGCGGCCGGTATGTGGATGACTTATGAAAAGTCACGTTGTATTTCTCCAACAAGTCAATCACTTCCTTCTTGAAGTGGGAACCGTTATCCGAAATAATCTCATTTGGGACCCCGTAGCGGCAGATGATGTTGTTTCTAATACACTTTGCAACGTGCGACGCCTTCAACACGGCATATGATTGGGCCTCGACCCACTTTGTAAAGTAATCTATCGCGACTAGGATGAACTCATGCCCATTTGACCCCTTCGGAGTGACAGCCCCGATTACATCAATTCCCCAAACTAAAAATGGACATGGCGAAGTCATGTTGTACAGCTTCGACGGCGGGATGTTCATGCGGTTTGCATGGATCTGACACTTGTGGCATCGCCGAACAAAACCGATACAATCCTCCTCCATGGTGGACCAGTAGTAACCCTACCTGAGGATCTTCCGTGCTAGCATTACTCCATTCATATGCGCACCGCATTCTCCTCCATGGATGGCCTCCATTAGGCGCTTCGATTCTTCGACATCGACACACAGCTTATGCATTCCCAGATGATCTCTCTTATACAGCTTACCCCCACAGATGACGAACTGAATGGCCATTCTTCTGATTGCCCTTTTATCCTTGGCATTTACCCCTGGCGGGTATGCTTCCTTCTCCAAGAAATTCCAAATGTCATAATACCAGGGGTTTTCATCTTGAACCTTATCTATAGCAGCAATTGACTCGTAGGCTAGCACAAATTTCTGGTCAATGATAACGGGACGCATCCGGACTCCGAACGGGATGTCTATCATGGAAGATAAGTTGCTAAAGAATCTGCGAACCTGTTGTTCTCTCTTAGTAGATGAGCAAAGTTTAGCTTCTCAAACCGAGGAATTAACAAGTCCAAGGTCTGGTGATACATCATCATCTTTTCTTCTTTGACCTTCCAGTCTCCTTTTGCTTGAGACACAACAAGGTTTGAATCCCCAATGGCGTCCAACCGTCTTGCCCCTAATTCCAGGGCTGCTTCTAGACCGGCAATGCATGCCTCATATTTTGCTTCGTTGTTCGAGACTTTGAACCGGAGTTTGAAAGCTAGAGGGATACGGGAATTGTCAGGTGCTATCAGGAACACTCCTATCCCATACCTGTATTGATTTGACGCTCCGTCAAAGTACATCGTCCAATATTCGTCGTCGATGTGAAAAATGGCTTCATTTGGGAATAAGTACTCAACTGCTTCATCTCCTTCAACTGGATGATCGGCTAAGAACTCTGCCACTGCTCTTCCCTTGACTGACTTGCATGTTACATATTTCAGATCGAATTCGGAGAGCAACAGCAGCCAACGAGCTAGCCTACCCGTAAGTGCTGGTTTCTCGAAAAGATATTTGATGGGATCGAGTCGTGAAACCAACATTACGGAGTGAGCTAACAGGTAGTGCCGCAGCTTCGTAGTAGCCCATACCAAAGCTAAGCAAGCCTTCTCCAACGGTGTGTAGCGAGTCTCATACTCTAGCATCTTCTTGCTCAGATAGTAGATGGCTC